ACCTACTACGGGAACTAGGAGACTAGCTTGCTGGTTGACCTACTACGGGAACTAGGAGACTAGCTTGCTGGTTGACCTACTACGGGAACTAGGAGACTAGCTTGCTGTTTGACCTACTACGGGAACTAGGAGACTAGCTTGCTGGTTGACCTACTACGGGAACTAGGAGACTAGCTTGCTATTTGACCTACTACAGGAATTAGGAGACTAGCTTGCTGGTTGACCTACTACGGGAAGTAGGAGACTAGCTTGCTTGTTGACCTACTAGGGAACTAGGAGACTAGCTTGCTAGTTGACCTACTACGGGAACTAGGAGACTAGCTTGCTGGTTCGTCGGTTCTTGTGATTAAAAGTAAAGTTAATTCAAATATCAATAATAATAAAATAATAATACATTATCAGTTGTAAGTTATAAATGAAATAAATGATGTTGTGTTATTATAAAATAACACATTATCAGTTAGAAGTTATAAATGAAATAAATGATGTGTTATTATAAAATAACACAATTATCAGTTAGAAGTTATAAATGAAATAAATGATGTTGTGTTATTATAAAATAACACATTATCAGTTGTAAGTTATAAATGAAATAAATGATGTTGTGTTATTATAAAATAACACATTATCAGTTGTAAGTTATAAATGAAATAAATGATGTTGTGTTATTATAAAATAACACATTATCAGTTAGAAGTTATAAATGAAATAAATGATGTTGTATTAATAATTCTTACCCTAAAAATCGGATACATAAGTGACTTAAATCTAATTGATAATGATTACAATTCCTTTACTTAATATGGTTCACACCACAACAGCTGATATCTACAATGTCTGTCATATCACAACTGGTCTAATGGTCCGTACCATTAAATCAAATTGATAATGATTACAATTCCTTTACTTAATATGGTTCACACCACAACAGCTGATATCTACAATGTCTGTCATATCACAACTGGTCTAATGGTCCGTACCATTAAATCAAATTGATAATGATTACAATTCCCCTACTTAATATGGTTCACACCACAACAGCTGATATCTGCAATGTCTGTCATATTACAACTAGTCTAATGGTCCGTACCATTAGGCGAAAGACCTCGTCGACACTGACTATGGCTGATTTAGTGTGGTTGACAAATTATAGCATATTCTCCTTTGCTTTATCTCGTGGGTTCTTCAGAATATGTCTATGACGTAATACAGTAGGTGGATCACCACAGCAACGATAGCCCCGAATTACTGACGAGGATAATCTGTTCCATGTGAATATGTTTCGATGGCTGAGGTTGGAAGAATGGTTGCCAATATATTAACATTATCAATAGAGAAAAGATTATCATCAACAATGGATATATCTCTTTCAATGTGGATCCTATAATTAGGCCAATCGGCATTAAATTAGTTTTAAAAAGGCTATATTTGTGTCAGGAAGATCACAGGTTACTCTAGTCGATAGTTGAACCTGATTGGGGAAAATCATCACTTGCCGAAAAAGAAGATAGAAGCCAAATTTTCTGAAGTTATAACATCTGATGAAAAGTTTGATTCTGAACAGCTTGGAGAAGGATGAGGCAACATAGATTTGGACCTTTTTCAAAAAGTAGATTGTAGCTTGGCAATGTTTGAAGAACTTCTGATATGATATTTAATGTCAGCCAAGATAATATAATTTTCCAAATTTCTATCCAAGTAGCAGAAGAAGTCGTGAAACAGAGTGACACCAGAATGAAAATATACAGTCGAAAGTGTGACGATTTGGAAGAAAAAGTAGATAGCGAAAATAAAGTGTTCAGGAAAAGTGAATACAATGAATATGAACGGTTATATGAATCCAATTACAAACTTCCACCCCACCTCTGCTAATACTTGAAGTGTGATTACAGTAATAGAAATTGTAGCCAGATATGTTTGCCTTTAATGTCGGTTTATGGAAAGTCTTGTTAAGAACAGTGCAATCATAGGTTTCCTCATTTAGTAAAGTTTCCAAAATAGTCTGGTTTACGAGGAAGGAATGGATGATAACAAAATATAAAAGTATAAGAGACATTCTTGACGTATCCTTGCCCTTTCGGATCCCATAAATGAGGAAAATGAAAGTGTGAGTTGTATCCAGAAAATGTGGGCTGCATACTAAGTTTAGCTGCCTACTCACTAGTGGATGCTCTCCAGGATATTTAAAATTGGGAATATTTTCTTCAGTAATAGTAATAACATCAGAGAATGTCTTCTATTGTTTGGAATTGAGAGAGTTTGGAGGAGGTGTAACTGGATCAGTAGTACCAATAGGAGCCACAGTAATGGGATCATCAGGTTTTGGAGGTGGCTTTCCTTGACATTTATTGATATCTGTGGGATGGTCTAATTGACAGGTATTGCAAATGGAGGTGTCAAATTTAATACACTGTCTGATTTGACCAGAACTCTCATAATGTGAAGAGATTGGCTTATTAAGACATTTTGATGATGGATAAATGTTGTAGCAAAGTCTAATAGTCCAGACGAAGTAATTGTATGACAAAAATTTAACTCACAAACTAGCCCTAGCGGCTGAACAGTGAGTCTGATACTACAATCAGCTTTCAATAGCCCTTTGTGTGGATTTGTGCTTAAGAACAAACAACTTGTTTCCCTGGTCAAGTTTATGGACCGGGCATGACCTAGTGGTTAGGGTGCTTCACTCATAATCTGTGGGCCACAGGATCGAATCCCACCACTGAGCGTGCTCATCCTTTCGGCCGTGGGGACGTTATAATGCGACGATCAATCCCACTATTCGATTAGAGTAGCCAAAGAAAAACAGCTGATGAATTCTGGTATGAACAAAACATTTATTGTCCAGTGGGAGACAAAGGATAGATTTGAAATATAGTTTTTCACACCTCCAGTTTCAACGTACATTGGGCAGCTGAGATACCATCTTATCAGTGTCAGGGATGTGCACGTTTATGGCCATGAGTGCTGAATTATCAGTGTCCGAGACATGTATCTCTTCAGATGCAGCTGCTGAACTACCTGTGTTACAGATAGGCGTATTTTCAGTTACAGCTGCTGAACTACCAGTGTTACAGATAGGCGTATTTTCAGTTATAGCTGCTGAACTACCAGTGTTACAGATAGGCGTATTTTCATTTATAGCTGCTGAACTACCAGTGTTACAGATAGGCGTATTTTCAGTTATAGCTGCTGAACTACCAGTGTTACAGATGGCGTATTTTCAGTTATAGCTGATGAACTACCAGTGTTACAGATAGGCGTATTATCAGTTATAGCTGCTGAACTACAGAATCGAGAGGTTTTGCAGACACAGCTGCTGAGCTACTTGTGTTTTTACCCTCAGTTGCTGAACAACAAGTGTCGAGGCATGTGTGTTTTCAAATACAGCTACCGAGCTATGAGTGACAATTTGGATATTGTGCCTTTGGCTATAACATTAATATGGTTTAGTTGTTAAAGTTGATTATACTAAATATCACAAGTCAGTGTGCCTGAAGAGTTTCGTGTGCCAGCACAGATCTGGCTGGAACGTGAAATGGATAAAGGAATCATTTACTTATTCACTTATATTTACAATAGTTGGGTTTTTCAAATGTTTTCCTATTTTCATATTCATCTATTTGTGTCTGTAGGTTTTGGTTTATTACATGTAATAACTCCGCTAGATTGGTTACTGAGTATTGTTGTACTAGGTTTATTACATGTAATAACTCCGCTAGATTGGTTACTGAGTATTGTTGTACTAGGTTTATTACATGTAATAACTCCGCTAGATTTGTTACTGAGTATTGTTGAACTAGGTTTATTATATGTAATAACTCCGCTAGATTTGTTACTGAGTAATGTTGTACCACGTTCATTAAATGTAATAACTCCGCTAGATTGGTTACTGAGTATTGTTGTACTAGGTTTATTACATGTAATAACTCCGCTAGATTTGTTACTGAGTATTGTTGTACTAGGTTTATTACATGTAATAACTCCGCTAGATTTGTTACTGAGTAATGTTGAACTAGGTTTACTACATGTAATAACTCCGCTAGATTTGTTACTGAGTATTGTTGTACTAGGTTTATTACATGTAATAACTCCGCTAGATATGTTCTCCGATGACTTCCCGTCCGGTGTACTTAACTTACATATAACAACATGATACTATATATATATATATATATATATTCGTAAAACAACTTGTTTTATTCTTTCTTTCAGCTGTTACAACTAATTAAAATTACCTATTATTTACAGAATTGGTTTAGTAGTTTTCAATCTACTTCTTTTCACTTTGTACAGTGATATTTCGGTTTGATCCTAAGTTGAAATAGTTTGTTCCGATCGGAAGTTAATATTAACGTATCATTTTTAGGTAGAAGTTAAGGTACAAACCAGCGACGTGATCTGCCTCTTTTAGATGTCGTTAAGATTCAAAGTAAACACAACAAAACATGAGTTTTGAAGATTATACAGCTGTTAATACCACAAATAAGGTCTTGCTAATTGGTTTTTAAGATTCGTAACGTAGATAAATTAATATGTAGAATTATACACGGACTTTACTGTACGTTAAAATACTTTTCTTTTATTTGCGAGATTTCGACCTTCTTACCGGGGCCTTTCTTTTATCGGGCAACAATGTTCTGAGCTCAATACAATGTTTCCCAATGTTTTACATAATATCTTGCTAATACGTATCAGAACATCGTTAATAGTCTAAAGAAGGGTGTATAATTCTGTATAATATCCTGCTAAGTTGAGCTGCATATTTAATACGTATCAGGACATCGTTAATAGTCTAAAGAAGTGTCTATAATTCTGTATAATATCCTGCTAAGTTGAGCTGCATATTTAATACGTATCAGGACATCGTTAATAGTCTAAAGAAGTGTCTATAATTCTGTATAATATCCTGCTAAGTTGAGCTGCATATTTAATACGTATCAGGACATCGTTAATGTCTAAACAATGTAATATGATACATGAAGTATACTTACAGAGACAGGAGGCTGCTAAAAGCCTGGTTGCTCTCTCTGGCGGTTGTTGACATTCTGAGAAGAAAGATGCCACAATGTAATGGCCGAAAGTGAGGGCCATAATAGCTTGTGATGTCGGTCTAACGATCACTAACATCGTCCATAGTCGCAGAAATGCCGGAAGAGGCCCAAAAGCTTCTAATATATACGCATAATCTCCGCCGGATTTCAAAATTGACGTTCCTAACTCCACGTAACATAAAGCCCCAAGCATGGTGAGGAAACCACACAGACCCCACACACTGAGCGAGACTCCTAGCGACTCTCCACTGTAAATGAACACTCCTTTAGGGGAAACGAATATGCCAGCACCGACTATAGTTCCAACAATTATTGCCACACCATTAAAGAGAGTGATTTTTTTCTTCAACCTTACTTTCTCTACATTTATTCTTTCCGTTGTACAACATGATCCCTCTTTATCATCAGTATGCATTTTTGGAGAACGTGTTACCAGTTGTGATATTACTAAAACTGACAGATAAAAATCCACGTGCAAATTATTCTTATGTGTTTATAAGTTGTTTTAAACTGTTCACCGTTTAATTTCGTGTTGTTATTAGACGTTTAAGAACAACCTTTCCAGTCTTTATAATAAACACCTGTGTTAATTTCACAGACAGTTCTGTAATAGGTAGTAGAAAATATTGCCATCTGTCTTCATAATGTACACTATTAGGTTTGAACAAATTGAAAACATAAAGTTAATCAATTGTGGCTGTAATCAGTATCATAGCTAACTTAACAACAGTCATCACAACAGGTAGCTGCTTTGACGTTAAGACCAGCATGTTTGGCTTCCAAACACTTTGTGCTGGTGGCGACACGGCGGCTTCTAGAGTAACTGTATTATATTGAGCTGGTGGCGCCATTGAATGTCACAGAGTTTGCCTAGAAAGTATTCGCACTGGATAACTTTTGGCTGATCGCACGGTCTAGCACCGACGACGCATCTTTCAAGTGTCTGCCTTATCATAAACGATGCCAACCAGCGATCCGCCTGAGTTCCTCAAATACGCTGATGACATTGCCGTGTGGAGCACATCCCGCGAGCCACTATTAGCAGCATCCAAGGTTCAAACCTCACTCAACATCGTAACACACTGGTGCAACACACGGAGAGTCGTGCTGAATGCCTCCAAAACACAGACTATATTGTTCAAAAGAAATATCTCCCTTAAACGCAAATCCCTCCCAAAAGTCAAAATAAAACTAAACGACACAGAACTCCAAATCTCCATGGACCGCAAAATTTCTAGGAGTCACGTATAACAGTAAACTAACCTGGTCAGACCACTTTATAAACGTATTAGTCAAAGTTTATAAACGCATCCATTACTTGAAGAAGGTAGGAGGCAGAATTAAAGTGTGCTGGGCGAAAACAATAATGAAAATTTATAAAGCATACATCCGCCCATTATTAGAATATGGTAACATGGTTACAATAAATGCATCACAAATACAGTACGATACCATTCAAATAGCCCAAAATCTAGCTATCAGAATAGCATACCGACTCCTAAGCTACACGCCTCACGAATACTTAGAAAAAGCAGGTGACATCCCCGACATCAGAGAACGTTTAACCACCCTCGCAGATAAATATTACAAAAATCATTAAACCGAACACCCGTAACTAACCAATTTGTATCACTAACCGCGACTCCCGTGACATGGTAAATATACCTCTCACCATTCAACACAATACAAGCCCTGAATGATAATGTCTAATCATATATGCCTGATCGTCTTTACAGCTTCGGGCACTGGTAAAGAAGAGTATTCGGCGCTCTACCAGTGAAAGTGGGTTTTCTCGGGTACTCCCGTTTCCCCCCACGACAATTGTTTTTTCCTTAAGCTTTGGATCCTGTGATCCCAGCCCTGAAAAGGACCATCTCACGTTTAAAGTAAACATTTAAAGCAAATGTAACAACTAGTGTGAATCAAAATCAAAATAGTAATCAACAACTAATTTGTTAACCAACCGTCGGCATTTAATCTCATTCTATAACGGACGTACTCAAGCTGCATCTCCCTGCTCTGCTCGGCGAGCGTCCAACGCCACGTGGTCGTCGAACGATCGTGTGCAGCGGAATGAAAGAAAGAAAACACCGAAAGACAGTACACAACTCAACGAAGCTCTCCGTCTTACTCTGCTTCGCCACGTCTCCCATCAGCTTTTCCCTCATCGCGTGAGCATCTCGTTTTGAAAAATATCAGTGATAAACTTCTTTATGCAAACATTTAAACCGTAAAAGCCTCGGCCACGTATTCCTAATTATGTAGTGGGGTGAAGAGAAACAAATGTTTCTGACCGCCCCTGGTTATATTTTACTAATCTAAGTACCTACCAAGCCAAAAGGTCAAAAGGACGGCGGTTTCTAGAGTAACTGTATTATATTGTGCTGGTGGCGACACGGCGGTTTCTATGGTAACTGTATTATATGCATGCATGACATTGAAATGTTTTTCTCGTGCTTTAACTCTAATTATCTTTATAGGCTATATGTGATAACCAGATTATTGCTCACATACAGTATGAAATAATTATATATTAGACTATAAAGATCACAACCACAGTAGTACAGTGTTACATCGCAACAAACAATCGTAGTAATACAGTGTTACATCGCAACAAACAACCGTAGTAATACAGTGTTACATCGCAACAAACAACCATAGTAATATAGTGTTACATCGCAACAAACAACCGTAGTAATACATTGTTACATCGCAACAAACAACCATAGTAATATAGTGTTACATCGCAACAAACAACCGTAGTAATACATTGTTA